GTTGTCTCTACGGCACAAGAATTAATCAAGTCTTTGGATCTTTGGTGAAGTCATTTGGTCATTTCCAGGAGCATTACTGAATACTACTTGTTAACTTCCTCACACCGAGCTGCATACCAGTCTAGCAACTCAATTAGATTTCCTCTATTGATAGACTCTTCGGATTCATCCTGACCACGAAATGCCAATCATTACATCAAGAGGAATCTAGTACAATCTAGCACCGCAGTCAATCTCGTCCTATAATTTTTTTCTTGATTACTACTTTGGCTGGAAATAATGTAAGAGATACTTTATTTTTTATTCATCAAGTTGGTACACTTTGTGAATGCTTGATTATGAGCACTATCAAAGAGATCGACATGATCTTTCAATGTCTTTTTGTGCTTCCAATCCCTAAAACCGGTCTTAGTTAATACATGTCCACCCCCTTGACCTCCTCTATCCGGTTTGAACAAGTAGCAATACAAACAATACAGCGCATCCTTTTCTACACTGTACTCTAGCCAATCAAATTCAGCGAACTATTCTTTCCGAAAACATCTGTTATCACTTCCCATCTGTCTTCTTGGAAAGTCATGTCCATGTGATTGACAAGGATCTTTCTCTAAGAATGCCATCATAATATTATCTCTGATATTAGGATCATATGACTCAATAGGGGGGGCGTTTCCTTGGATCAGATACAAGATCATCCGAATTGAATTGAGCCCGAGACTTTTTCGTGTTATCTAACACGTTGGCTGCTCGACTAGAAGCAGTGGCGAGACTGGATGCACCACTAGAACTGGAAGAAACAGGTATGAACTTCCGTTTGGGTTGAAAAAATCGTTCCATAATCTACAATTGCAAGTGTGCAACATAAATCAATTCTGAAATCAATGCAACTAATTTCTCATGAATGATGAATGTATGTTAACTTAATTTCAATCCTGAAATTCATCTACTTTTATTATGATAGTTTTACATATTTTAATGTAGTGTCATAAATTTTCAATTCCCCCAATTCCAAACCCTAAACCCTAAATCCAATTCCAAATTCAATTCCAATTCCAATTCCAATTCCAATTTTAATTTCCCCCAATAATCCAATTCCAATTCATAAATCATATTTCAAAAAAAATTGAAAACTATCATAAAATCATGATTTCAAAACTCATAAACAGACAATAACACAAAAAAATAATAATAATAATAAAAAATAAACGATGGCAACCGGCAGAACAAAAAAAAAAACTCACTGGCAATCTGGGCTCAAGATTAAATTGGCAAACGGAAGAAGACGGTGGTGGTGGAGAAGATGGTCGGTGGTGTTCGGCGGCAACGGGCGATGGCATGGTGACGGGCTGACGACAGGCAGTCAGGTAAAGGCGTAGCAACTAGCAAAGTCATCTCTTGATTTTGTTTCCTGAAGGCTGGAGGAAATGAGACCAAATATGGTTGATGGGCTAGGCTAGGATGCATATATATATAAATATATGCATCCGGTAGAACAAAAAAAAAAACCTCACTGGCAGTCTGGGTCAAGATTAAATTGGCGAATGGAAGAAGACGGTGGTGGTGGAGAAGATGGTTGGTGGTGTTCGGCGGCAACGGGCGATGGCATGGTGACGGGCTGACGACAGGCAGAGGCGTAGCAACTAGCAAAGTCGTTTCTTGAGTATTGGGCTCAAGATTAAATTGGCCCAACCCAAAACAAAACAAAACATAAAAAAAAAAAAGAAAAGACAGAAATCAGCCAAGCGGCCCCAGCCGGAGAAGACGAACCAGTTAGGCACCACTCCAGCGCGGCATCTTCTCAAAAAAATTTCCAGGCGTAGCCCAACACGCGCAGCAGCCCCCTCGGTCGGATGCTGGGTCTGCCACTGTGCGCACATGTTTTTGCCTTTGCACATCAGTCAGTATTTTGGTTATAACTTTCTCTCCCATTATCCGATTAAACTGATTCAAAGTGCGTTAGAAAGATAATTCAAAGGGGAACAACATTTTTAGAGATAGAGATTTTCTAATTCGAAAAATTGTGTCTCAATCTTTGGCTAAAAATCTGTAATATAACTTGTGCGATTGGAAATTGATTTTGATAATATTTTGATCATATGTCATTCCTTTTTGACTTCTAGTTGCATATAATTGTCTCCTAGCAATCTTCAAAATATCTCTTGTGAAATCAACTATCGAATAATTGCAATTTGATCCTCGAACTTCGTACTCTGTTATTTTTCACCATTTTCACTTATTTCTTTCAATTTCATGTTCAACCACTGAGTTTTACTTATATAACATAAACTACAGCAATTTAAGATATATTTTGACAAAAGAAATACCAAATATCGATATTTTAGATCTCGAATAAGTGTATAAAACACACTTATCACATAGATGAAGACTAGTTCTACATAAAAGAAAGAGGTTGTAGCCTCATCAACCACGCTATTAATTCTAACACTATTAACGTCTTGCTCCGAAGACTTGTTTTGAGCATCAGATTGATCAGACATGTTAGTTGTTTTCTTAAAAACTTTGCCAAGGTTTGGAGAAGTAATCCTTATGCTAAAGATGATACCTTTCAAGGTTTGGAGGAAGATGAACGATCTTTATTTTTTCATTTACATTTATTTCCGTTCTTATTCCCTTTTCTCATTTATTTAAATCTAAAGGTATAATCGTCTTTCTATCGGAAAACTTGACTTTTTAGCAGTTAATCTGACTGAAAATGAAGGAAATGACCAATTTGACACTCAAAATTAACATTTGTATCGGAATGTGACAGTTAAAATTAAAACTATAGATCTAATTCCACAGAAGAGTCATACGTTAAGGGCCATTTATGCTGACTCGTCACAGCTAAACGTGCGTTACACGTTATTTTGAAATGCTTTATAAACACTGTAAAAATGATATTTGAAAATCAGTGAATATAAAAATTAGTTAAAAAAAACTGTTTATGTGAAATACACTTTGTATACAATTCAATTATTTATTTACATGTATGATAATAATTAACATTAATTTATATATATCCTTCTATAATTCACTCAATTAATTCTTCAAGTTCATGCATATATACTTTATATATTTTGGATGTTCAATTACTCTAGAAATACTACAATTCAATTATTTATGTATGTGCATGTATACTAATTAACATTTACTTATGGATATATTAAATATAATATTAAGTCATCAAGTTCATGTACACATATTTTGGGAGCTATTAAATTATTTTAGGAGTAAATAAATTATTCAAGTTCATGAACACGTATTTATTTTGAAAATTATTCATTTTATCATAAATTATTCTAGGAGTATATAAATTATTAAAGATCATATAATTTGGAAGCTATTCAATTATTATAGGAGTAGATAAATTACTCAAGTTCATATACACTTATTTAATTTCAATATTATTCATTTAATCTATAATATGACACCATTTGTCTAAATGAATATAAATTATTCTTTTTCTATATTCATTGATTCAAATTAATTAGATTTCACCCCATTTGTTTAAATGTTTATAAATTATTATTTTTCTATATCTATTAATTCAAATTAATTAAATTTCATGTTGGTTCACTTACACCCTCTTTGTTTAAATATATATAAATTATTCTTTTTCTATATTCATTGATTCAAATTAATTAAATTCCATGTTCATGAATCAATTTGATTGTTCTCATACAATTCAATTATTTATTTACGTGCATGTTTAATAATTAATATTCAATTAAATATATATTGAAAAAGGAAAAGTAAGGTACTATCAAATAACTAAATTGTAGTAGTGCTAAAATCGTTTAAAAAATAATTCTCACTTGATGCGATATTTAATATATTATAGATAAGAAAATTTGGAAACAACAAGCCTTATTACCCAGAAGAATTCTGGCATAGTCCAAAACATGCAAACTAAATGCGTCTCTGTCTTTCAAATAATTCATCTTTCTATTTCTTGAAAGTAATAGACACATCAAAATGGGAAAGTTCATAAATGGATTCTACTGCATTACTATATCATTTTCAGAACTAAGAAGTTGCCAAATGTCCTTGTCAAGAGAAAAGTCATTCCAGAAATGGTCTTCTTCCTGCAATTCTAAAGATATTGCATTGGATCTTGGCTTAGTTTCTCCATCAATTTTGACATAATCGAGCAAGTTACTCCACCATTGGGTGCATTCATCTTCTACTGGTTTTGATGATGATGATGATGGAGATAGATTTTCTGAATTTTGATCAGTTATCAAAATATTTGGTTCGATTGTTATGTTTTCTCTCGACGAAAAGGGTGCAATTCTTTTGAAGGTCCTAGGTCGAGGTTTCAAGATTGTGGCTTTGGTGGTTTTCTGGGTTTTGCTCTTCCCTTCTTCTCGAGCCAATACCTTCTTCTGAAGACGACTGTTCCAATGGTTTTTCACATCGTTGGCCGTTCTTCTGAGGAGTCTACCGGAAATCAATGACCATCTGCATCAACATCGAGAGGCGTAGGCCATTAGAAGTCGAGCTTAAACTTTTAGGGCATGTTTAATATGTATAATATGTAGTACTCTCAAGATTGGACATCACAATACACAATATGTCTAATTTTTTTTGTTAGTTCATGTTCGGTTGTGCTTAAAAATAAGTAAAATCACTTTTAAATTACTTATTTTGCAAAATATGAGTTATAAAGTTAATTTACCAAGAAGCATACTTCTTAGATAAAAATAACTCAAACATGCTATGGAACTTATAAGTTGGAAATACTACATGCTTACATGATTTACAGGGTGTTTGGTGGGGATTAAAATTAGATTTTTAGTAGATTGTGATAGAAGTTTTTGAAATGTGAGGTTCAAAAGTTGTGGGACCCATAAAAGATATTGTTAATATTGATTGTTTGATTTTGACTTGGATTAAAATCAGATTTTAATCCGAACCAAACGAGTGCTTAATTTACTAAGATCTCACTGCATGCCGACATGTCTTGGAATCAGGGGTGGACCCAAGATTACTTAATAGGTCCGCCCTTGCTTGGAAGGCTCCAGAGGTTGACAGATGCAGGCAATAATTGAAAATATTCCCGCACCGATACGTTTGTATGAGCTACGGGCCATATGATGGGACTAGTAAGTACAAGTGTGTGAGAAAATGCTATAAAACTATCGACCGGACAAACCAAACAGACATATGATTTTATGCTATAAATCATTAATTTTATCGAGAAGTAAATAAAGTAGCGGACTCTTTGGCAAAGGAAGGGATTGATGGTACCTCGGCTTTTTTTGATTCTAGTGGTAGTTTTTCCAAGTGTACTTTTGATTGTATTAGACTTGATAATATTGGTACTCCTCCTTTCGGATTCTAGTTAGTTTTAATTGTTGGTCGTATTGTAATTTTGAATATCACAGTATTCCTCTGCCATAAATGAGGGTTCATTAATAAAGTTTCAGAGGTACAGTACTCTTTCTTCAAATAAAAAAAAATGAAAAATAAAGGGAAAAAAAGCGAAGCTTGCCTGTTGCCTAAAAGCTTATGAAGCCTTATAATGAGATCATCTTCATCCGGTGTAAAGTCGCCTCTTTTGATATTTGGCTTCAGATAGTTTAACCACCTGAGCCTACAACTCTTCCTACATCTGTTCAACCCTACAAAAATCAAACACAAACTCTTCAAAACGAAGTCCCAAAAATATATATTATCTCCTCCAGTTTTGGTCTGTGATTGCACGCGTGTTTTTTTGTACGTGGTGGCATGTATACTGAGGCTATACGTACCTGCATTGATAGGAACTTGATGCCATTTCCCTTCTCCATACTTTTCAATGCATTTCCTGAGAAGTTTATCTTCTTCTTCAGTCCATGCACCTTTTCTCAATCCAACTGGAGTACTCATCATAATATACGTGATATTTTGTATAGAATCTTCAATACAAATAAGCACGTGTAAATCTATTGGATACAATCAAACCGAAAGCTCAAAAAGTTGTCTCTTTTAATGGTGTCTCTTTAGCATTATATATAGGGGAAGTTTTCCAGAGTATAAGACATACATATATATTTATGTGGTGTGCATTTCTAACAACCAATTTCATAAACGTGGAGTTTGGAGATTCATTAAATATTAAATTTATTTAAACATTTTTTTTAGAGAAATATAGTTGGTTGGAATTTATGACCTGTTTGGCTCGACGTTTGAAAAGTCGAAAGTTACTTCTAAAACTAGGAAGTTGAAGGTGTTGTACTTGACTAGAAGAGTTTTTGAGGCAGTTGGGCTAAGTTAGCTTTGGGCTCGTCCAGCGTGACTTTTTCTTTTCCTTCTCCTTCTTACGGAAAAGCTTTTGTAGAAAGTTATGTTAATTTTTAAAAGAATTTCCTAAATCAGAAGAAGAAATCACATTGGACCAGCTTTACCTGAAAACTCTTTTAACTAGAAGAAACAATTTCATAAAGTTAGTCAAATGAGTCCAAAAGCTATATTTGAATCTCAAAAACTACTTTTAACTTTTCAAAAGCCATGTTAAACATGCTTTTCCTTAAGAAGCTCTTCTACAAGATGTAAAATCAAAAGCAGAAACCCTTTCGAGAGTGCCCATAATAGGTAGAACTTTAGGTTATTGTCCAAGAAGCTATTATTTGGTGAGAAGCTTGAGTTATTAACATTAATGAGGCAATAGAGAAGAAATAATGGAGAAGCTGCATTTATTGTTGCTAAATAAATGCAGGTCTTAAACAAAGGGATTGAAGAGTTATAATAAATTGAATTATATGATTAATTTGAATGAGTCTTCAAAGTGCAGATATTTAAATTTAACCACATCCATTTAAAGAATGTGGGAACGTGCCCATCTGGGAAAAGAGAAGGGAAAATGACTTTGATTATATCATAGTTCCCTTTCAATTGTAACTTGGCTAGCAACTAGTGATCTACGAGGGTGGCTCACGACAAGTGCGCCCCAGGCAGGTCGAAAAATATTTTTGGAACTTTTTGTTGTATAATTCAAGAAAATAGTTTATGTTTTTCTCTCTAAAAATTTATTTTCGTCTTGAGCAACTTGTGTTTGGATTAGCATGTAACGTTTTATACTTTAGACACAAGTAAGGAAAAGTTTAAAATGCAAAACTACGAAACCCTTAGAAAGAGGTTCTTATAATTTAATTTGGAATGTTAACAATTTATTGTTATTATTATTTTTTTATTTTTGACAATTTCGTCCACTTCATTCATTCTTTTTTCCTTTTTCAAACAGCTCGAGTTTTTTTATTAAGTATTTTACATTCAAGCATCCTAGATTCACAAATATATGGTCAATAAGTGGATGATATTTTGTTTAAGATTGACTAAACTTGTGTACCACGTAACTTGTGATACTTTGACTTTTACTTAGCCTCTGTTTGACTTCATACGGGCTTTTCCCCGACCCTCAATGTAGATGAAGCCGCTTATTTTGCGTTGACTTCCGTCCGATGAAATGTATATCAACGTAGATAAGATTTAGTGAGAACGAGATCTACCCTTTTCTTATATATGCAACCACCGGTGCCAGTTTTAGGGCTCAACAAGTCCAGCAGACCTCAGAAGATAGGGTTCGTCAGACTTTTTCATTCCTCCGGGTCAGAGGGAATTGCGAGACGTAGCTACGCCCTTCTTCCATGAGAGTAGGTATACTAGAAGCCCAAAAGCTTGTGAACACATTCAACCAACCAGAGAGGGGACAAGGACAGTTAACCTCCAAAGTGAAAACCCGCCATATCGTCCATCAAAAGCAATGAGCCATTGACTTCAGCTGGCAGTAATGCATCGAGATGGAGTGTCCTAATTGACCCACAGCCAGAGGGGATCCAGTGCTCGCTGTAGAAGAGGGATGCTACTCCTCTTGGATAAGACGGATATCCTCCCAAGACGCTGGAGATCTCGGGCCGTCCTCATCTTCTCGTCCGATAGCAACTTCGAACCCGGCAGACTAACGGCTACATAGGGAGTAAGCGAGAGTAGGGGATGGCAGAGCCGGCCTACCAACTTTCCATGACCAGAGGAAGGGGCAGGGCTAAGGGGGGCGTAGGGTGCCTATCGTTGCAAGATCCACCCAGAATAATGGTTAGCAGCCATTCGACGGAAGCGGAAAGAGTCCCAGGGTTCAACCTAAGAGAGCTAGTCCTCACCCGACTTATAGACAAGCCATTGAAGGCTGGCTATTCGTGACCGCAGGGCGATCAGCAGTCGGCCCCTCATTTCCGTTTGGAATACAGGAGGATTCCTATGGGAGGGAGAAGAGGTGGGGGGTGCCTACCCTCTTTGAGTTCAGTACCGTGGGAGTGTGATTAGGAGTCACATTTAGTTAGATTGGGTAACTTTCTCTATAGTTGCCACCTTTCCCATTTCGTCAGCCAACAAGAATCCCCCTTGGTCATCAGTAAACAAGGGAAGTAGCACTAAGCGACTAACAGCGGAGGAAAGACCCGCATAGAAGATAAGCGTATACCTTTTACATAGCATCTGGTAAGGACGTTATGTACCACTACTATCATACGAGACCTCTCCAGAGGAAATAAAATATTATAGAAATATGCCAACCAGATCAAAACCAAAGTAAAGCGCAGCACAGAAACAAGCAAGTAATCCCTTACCTAGTCAACTGGTCAATCTGTCTACGATTGCCGGGTTATTAGGTAACAAGCAAGGAACACTCTTTCTTAAAATCAAAATCAAGTGCAATAAATAAGAGGAGTTCTATTCTTTTTAAAACTTCAACTGCGGCTTCTATAAAGCGGTTTAACCTTCCTTAGCGGCCTGATCTTTCTTTCTGAACCTATGAGTTTTTCGACCCGATCCAGAGAGAGCAAAGACTGAGGGTTCGGCTTCTTTCATAAGGTGGGCAGGGCTATTCCTTGCTCCTGTCGGACCTGTACTGTCTACTCTGCTCTTTATGGAAGAGCCAACTCCACGGGATAAGGCTTCTGCTAGAGGATATGAGGCTTTCGTTCGATACAAAAGATTCATCAACAAGGGGGATAGGTATAGGTAGGGACCTGACCCGACAAAAAAAGCTCTTTTTCGTTAAGATAAAGAGGTATCTGGCGAAAGCAAACTGAGATCTTGTAGGAAGTGCTGTACTTTCTCATTCAAAAATCAGGATATTTTGAATAACTCTTAATCTTAACCCAACCGCCCTTGAGTGCAAGAAAGAGCTTTCGGCAGCAAGTCTACAAGCCACTGAAGTGAGGTTTTGGTCTGCTTTCCCTTGATGCAGTTCACGCAGCACACTCCAAAGTCACAGTGAAATCAAGAGTAAGAGGTACTCCTTCTCCCACTAACCTCCGGATTTTCCTCTTGGAGATGTGTCCCAACCTCCTATGCAAGGGCATGGATGAATTTTTCTTACCCATACCACCTTTCATTTCAACATGAACATGACCATAATAAGTGGATGGAGTTCTTCTTCCCATTTGGTGGAGTGCAATTTCTTGTTAGTGGGATTATGGCAAAAGCCTTAGAATGTTAAATATGGTTTTGTTACAAAAATCTTGCAGTCTGAGTTCTTGATCTCGCTATCATGGTGTCATGATGATCAAGCACAATTTTGAATTGAGTCTACCCACCTCTAAAGCTCAACATTGACCTTCTCTCTCATTTTATTCAACTTTCATATGGTTTAGTAATTTTCCCAAGTAGATTTAATCAATATTTTTATATGACCCTATAATATCTCTATAAATGATATGAGAATGCAAACCACATGAAAAACTAGAACATTCAATCAAGAATCACGCAAATAATTAATAGTTGTATATCTCTATTGTATATCGGACTTTACGATGATAGCTAATATGTGCTATTAACCCTATTCGACCTCTCAGCCTAAATATAAGTAACTAATTAAATCCAAAGGTGATCAAGTATTTGAAATGATTAAATAAATAGCAATCATTATCAAAACGTCTTAATGTGATGACTCGGCTCGTTAACAGTACATTACAAGTTTTGACTCGGCTCGTTAACATCTCTACCTGAATCTGTTTTTTCTTTAATGTGATGCAAGGTAGCACGTACAAAACGTCTTAACTTGTAATGTACTGTTAACCTTTTAGCTCTTATTGATTCACTCATAAAAGACCAAAAAATTAGCTCTTGGACGCACATTGATTCATGCTAAATATCGAGAATTTAGATTCATTTATTTATATACACCGAAAATACGACATGTAATTGATAACACTCAAATTTTCCATCTCATATGTCTTGATGTAGTACTTAATCATAATTAGTAGTTTCCTATTGTAATTGTGATTTATCTTTTCTAGTTATAATATGTTTTAGTTTTTTATTCTTCTTTTTTAGTTTGTAATAGGATTTCTTATTTTTTAATTGACGAATAGAATTTCTAATTTCTTTTAAATTATGATTTTATTAATTTCTTTATTTTAGTTTCCTAATATTAGTAGAAGTAAGGAATTATATTGCCTATAAATATAGAGATTTTGTACACTTTTGATCACATAAATTATTATTCAATATATGTAAAGCAAGATTATTTCAATATCGTTCTTATTTATTACATAATTTTTATTATAAGAATTCCACACACACCTCCGCACCACCACCACCTTTGTTCTCAAAGACGTATGGTCTTATTCATAAAATGCTATAGAATTTAATTAGAAGTAAATCTCACTATTCCTATGGTAAAATCCTAAACTAAAATATTAATGTGAAAAATACCATAAGCAAAACCCTATTGAAATGAAAAAAAAAATATATAAAATTACAATAAGAATATCAAAAATAAAATACTATTAAGATCATATTTGAGCCCCATTTTCTAAAAACTCATTTTTAATCACACATTTTTTTAATAAAATAATTTTACACGTAAATTTAAAATTTTATCATACTTT